GTTCCGCGAGCGCTATGTCATGGGTTCGTATCCTGGCCGGGGAGGATTTACTGGGCGCAAATCCTTAACTGTAGCCTCTGTTTAACGCAACAGCAAAATGTGTACTTGGATGAAAAAACGATTCTTCGCGGCGGGGATCGTATTCCAGGGACCTGTCCGAAACGCTACGCGTACTAGTGGCTCTACAAGAATGTAACAACTCTTGTATATATCTCAAAAAAAAAAAAAAAATTGCACGATGTAGATCCCGACACCCTCTGCAAAATATTAGATGTAACACGATCAAGGAGCAGCGGGCTCAAGCTCAACAAGCCACAATGTAGGACAGAAAACAGGAGATGCTTTTTCACCCATAGGGTTGTAAACCCGTGGAACCGCCTTCTCGCTGAATCCATAAACGCCAAAACTCCGTTAAGTTTTAAGATACAGATAGAAAAGATCTTCAGGACAAATGGGGGGATCTCTGACAAGTGGCCATGCAGGTTCCTGTCCTCCTTGAGGTCACTAGTATTAGTGGCCCACAGGTACAAAAAGGTTAAAAGGTAAATCTGTGCAAACACTATGCAAATAAAGGGACCTGGTCTATGTTACTCACTCCTTAACGAATCAAAAAGCTGTCCAACTTATGCCTTATTCAAAAGTAAAACCAGAAAGTAGCTAATTTCCTCCTCATAGTTTCCTACCTAGTGCTGCAAATTTGCACTGTATCTTGTGCTACCCAATCCCCATCATGTGTGTCTAAGACATGCAACTTCACCAATGTAATCACTGCTATCAACTTATATCATAGTTGTTATGTTGAACGCAAATTTATTTTACAAAGTACCTATTAATATTCCTCAAATCATGCTACAATGTACCTGTTGTAATCCTCAAATTTTACTGCAATGTACCTATTAATATTTTTCCAATGTTTCTACAATGTACCTATTAATATTCTTCAAATTTTGCTACAAATTACCTACTATAATTTTTTTCTGCCCGAAAAGCTATGCGTGTTAGTGGCTTTGCAAGAATTTGCAAGAAAACAGGGGATGCAGAGGATCCCGGGAGCTAGGAGGGTGGGCTTTTTGCAAGTGAGCAGCTGTTTGCTTGTCGAGAACAGGGGCCCACCCAGTCTGCGGTAGAGCTTATATAACCTCGGCTCGTTGCGCGCGCAGCTTGGGCGGTCAGACTCAGCTGGCCATACACACGTTTTCTTCCCTCAGAAAACCCACCGCTTTTTCTTTGGAGAAAGCAGTGTTCTTTTCTCATATAGTCGTCTCTTGTATCAGGAATGGTTGAAGGCCACAGGGCTAACATCACTACACACAGCGGTTGTGTGGTGCCCATATTTTAAGAAGCACATCAACAAACTGGAAAAGGTGCAAAGACATGCTACTAAGTGGCTCCCAGAACTGAAGGACAAGAGCTACGAGGAGAGGTTAGAGGCATTAAATATGCTAAAACTAGAAGACAGAAGAAAAAGAGGTGATATGATCACTAGGTACAAAATAGTAACAGGAATTGATAAAATCGATAGGGAAGATTTCCTGAGACCTGGAACTTTAAGAACAAGAGGTCATAGATTTAAACTAGCTAAACACAGATGCCGAAGAAATATAAGAAAATTCACTTTCGCAAACAGTGGTACACAGTTGGAACAAGTTAGGTGAGAAGGTGGTGGAGGCTAAGACCGTCAGTAGTTTCAAAGCGTTATATGACAAAGAGTGGTGGGAAGACGGGACACCACGAGTGTAGCTCTCATCCTGTAACTACACTTAGGTAATTATACTTAGGTAATTACACTTAGGTAATTACACCAGGCATGACAGGGCGGATCTCATTGAAACCTTTAAAATACTGAATAATTTGGAGGATGTTGATCCGGACTATTTCTTCAAAAGATCAGATGTAACACGAGCGAGGAGTAACGGGTTCAAACTCAACAAGCGACAATGTCGAACTGAGAAGAGATGCTTTTTCACTCATAAAGTTATAAACCCATAGATCCGCCTACCCGACAAAGCCGTAAACGCCAAAATTACAGATGGAAGAAATCATCAGGGCAAACGGGGGGACATTTGACAAGCCGCCGGCTTTCTGTCCTCTTCGAGGTCATTAGTATTAGTGGCCTTCAGGTAAATTCAGATGACTTGGCTTTGGAATGACTTGTTGGCCGGTGTTGCACGTTCTCGATCTAGAGCATGTCCTTCTGAAGATGAGGTCTCCATGCTTGGATACAGTAATCCAAATGAACCCGAGATTTATGTATATGGTTGAATCATTACCTTCTTTTCCTTATAGTCAAACGTGCGCTTCATTATCTCAAGGGTTTGGCTAGCTTTCTGACTGTTGCTCCCACGTACGTGTTGTGCAACTTGTGGATTACAACAGATGGGCTTAAGATAGTTTGCAGTAGTTGAACCCCCCATGCACAGATACCGTATGTATCTGATAGGTTGACGAAGAAAAGGAGCTTGGGGTCAAAATGATAATGTGGGGTGCCACAGGAGTCCATTTTAGGACCTACCCTTATTGTTATATATATATCAATGATATAAATAAGAATATTACAAACCACATCATCAAATTTGTGGATGGCACTAAGATATAGTCACTGCTTCCCAAAGTGGTGAAGTTTCTGTGGGAAGAAATCGTATTACCATGAATTTGTGTCTAACCGACTAAGTTGCGCGCGCATCTAGTGGGGTACTTAAAGCGCGCCCGCGGACTCGGCGACCTCTTGTCCACCACCTCTTCTGCTGATACACTACAAAACGCCCACCCTCCTCCCGGGATCCCCTGCATCCCCTGTTTTAGTTTCCAAGGGAAGACGCTAAAGCAGTTTGCTGGGGACACTTAACCATCTTGCAACGAATTTGTGTTACCTTTGGGGGTGCTCCGACAGAACCCCCAAAGTGATAAGCCAAGAATACCAAGAATTGGAATTACCGTAAATTCAAATCATGCAACTTTCAATTACTAATTAGAGGTGTCACTTTAACTGTAATTGATTTAATCTACAAGCAGCTTTACTCTTTTCTAGCCAAACACAATATACTTAGCTCTTGTCAATATGGCTTCAGACCCAAAAAAAGCACTAACGATGCACTTATTAGTATGATTAACTTAATTCACGCAGCTCTTGATAAAAAGGAGTTTCCTGTTGGGTTATTTGTGGACCTGAGTAAGGCTTTTGACACTGTCAACCATCAAAACCTTCTTCTTAAAATTACATCATTATGGAGTCAGAGGACACTCCCTGCAATACCTCAAATCTTATCTTACTGACAGGCTCCAGTGTGTTTCTGTGAATAATACAATTTCTCCCACCCTACCCATCAACATTGGTGTTCCTCAGGGCAGCATACTTGGCCCTCTCCTCTTTCTCATCTACATTAATGACCTTCCAAATGCCTCCCAACACCTCAAACCAATTCTATTTGCTGACGACACAACCTTCATTTACTCCAGTCCTGACCCCCTTGCTCTAAATGCCACAGTAAATACTGAGCTAGAGAAAGTTCATCTTTGGCTAACTGCCAACAAACTCACCCTTAACATTGACAAAACGTTTTATATTCTGTTTGGCAATAAATCCTCTAATCATATAAATCTCAAAATAAACAATACCCAAATTTGTAACAAATTAGATGGCAAATTCCTTGGCGTTCTCATCGACCACAAGCTGAATTTCCAGGGTCACATTCTAAATATATAAAAAAAAGTTTCAAAAACTGTTGGCATTCTTTCTAAGATCAGATATTATGTACCCCGCCCTGCCCTGGTTACTCTCTATTACTCCCTCATCTATCCATACCTCAACTATGGTATTTGTGCTTGGGGTTCTACTACCCAAAATCATTTACGTCCTCTTATTACCCAACACAAAGCTGCTATTAGGACAATATCCAACTCTGGCCCCAGACAGCACTTGGTACCCTTACTCAAATCTCTGAATATGTTAGACATTAAGTCACTGTACATTCTCTCTTGTGTATTATACATATATAAAACGCTGAACTGTAATGCCAATCCTGATCTCAAAAGCTTCATTGAAGGTTGTAACAGAACCCATGAGCACCACACCAGAAATAAATACTGTTTTGATATTCCTAGAGTACGACTTAATCAAACTAGAAATGCTCTACAAATCAAGGGACCCAGAATGTGGAATGACCTTCCCAACCATGTTAAAGACTCTACCTCTCTCAACCAGTTTAAGATAAAAACTAAACACTACCTAATAAATTCCCTGTAACCTACCTCACTCCTCTATTGTCAACCCATGTCTGTTATTTTTTTTTAATCAACACTGTCAATCTATTGTATTTGTGCTGCTTTTTCAGTCATGTTCCCCCCTTTTTTTTATCTTTATTTGTATTTGTCCCTCAACACTTTTTATTCTTTATGCTCAATTAGTATTAAGTTCTAGATATTAATGTTTTTCTTGCCCGAAACGCATTGCGTAATAGTGGCTTTAGGCATTGTATGTACTAGCTCTATCTATATATCAATCCATTAATGTAACATCACTTGTATGTATGTACCTTACCTGAATAAACATATTTATTTATTTATTTATGTGGGCTCTGCTTGAGCGCAGGCTTGAATATCAATATAATTTAACTTTCCTGCTGGAGCATATAGATTAAATACACACTGATATAAAAATATGTATATAAATAAATAAATTAAAATAAATGTGCTTTGTGCTGCTTTTTCATCTATGTTTTCATTTCTTGTTTTCATTCTACTCATTATGCTCAATTAGTATTAAGCTTGTCATTTAAGTTTATCATGCCCGAAACGCTTTGCGTAATAGTGGCTTTAGGCATTGTATGTACTAGCTCTACCTATAAGTCAAACAATCCTTGTAAATATTTATTGTATGTATGTACCTTACCTAAATAAAATTGTATTGTATTGTATTGTCGTAAATAAATCCATTGAAGCTAGGTATGATAACATAGAATAGTCTGCCGTTAAAGTCAAACATCTCCATTTTTTATGGTGCGGCCAAACAGTGAGTGAGAAACAGCTGATCCCAAACCCCAAGGAGGACCGGGGCGGCGGAGGAGAGCGATGACAGCGTAATACAGGAGGTAAGTGACCTCAGGTGATGGCAGTGTGGGAGGGAGTGAAGGGGGCTGGTGAGGAAGGAGAGAGAGAGCAGGTGTGGAGAGTGTCGGGCCGCACCAGCCGCCGCTTGTCATGGTGATCCACCACTTGTCAGCGACACTTACACACACATTGCCCGTCCCTTCCTGCAGCTCTGGCTGACATGCAGGTTACCTGTCACTGTCTGCCTCTCATGCAGGCCACCCGTCACTGGCTGCCTCTCATGCAGGCTACCCGTCACTGGCTGCCTCTCATGCAGGCCTCCCGTCACTGGCTGCCTCTCATGCAGGCCTCCCGTCACTGGCTGCCTCTCATGCAGGCCTCCCGTCACTGTCTGCCTCTCATGCAGGCCTCCCGTCACTGGCTGCCTCTCATGCAGGCCTCCCGTCACTGTCTGCCTCTCATGCAGGCCACCCATCACTGGCTGCCTCTCATGCAGGTTACCCGTCACTGGCTGCCTCTCATGCAGGCCTCCCGTCACTGGCTGCCTCTCATGCAGGCCTCCCGTCACTGGCTGCCTCTCATGCAGGCCTCCCGTCACTGGCTGCCTCTCATGCAGGCCTCCCGTCACTGGCTGCCTCTCATGCAGGCTACCAGTCACTGGCTGCCTCTCATGCAGGCCTCCCGTCACTGGCTGCCTCTCATGCAGGCCTCCCGTCACTGGCTGCCTCTCATGCAGGCCTCCCGTCACTGTCTGCCTCTCATGCAGGCCTCCCGTCACTGGCTGCCTCTCATGCAGGCCTCCCGTCACTGGCTGCCTCTCATGCAGGCTACCCGTCACTGGCTGCCTCTCATGCAGGCCTCCCGTCACTGGCTGCCTCTCATGCAGGCTACCCGTCACTGGCTGCCTCTCATGCAGGCTACCCGTCACTGGCTGCCTCTCATGCAGGCCTCCCGTCACTGGCTGCCTCTCATGCAGGCTACCCGTCACTGTCTGCCTCTCATGCAGGCCTCCCGTCACTGGCTGCCTCTCATGCAGGCTACCCGTCACTGTCTGCCTCTCATGCAGGCCTCCCGTCACTGGCTGCCTCTCATGCAGGCCTCCCGTCACTGGCTGCCACTCATGCAGGCCTCCCGTCACTGTCTGCCTCTCATGCAGGCCTCCCGTCACTGGCTGCTTCTCATGCAGGCCTCCCGTCACTGGCTGCCTCTCATGCAGGCTACCCGTCACTGGCTGCCTCTCATGCAGGCCTCCCGTCACTGGCTGCCTCTCATGCAGGCTACCCGTCACTGGCTGCCTAACAAAAGTCACCATCACTCCATACAAGTACACCTGGTGTCCTGCGAGATGCAACAGGGGCACGACGGCGAGGAAGCGATGCACACCGTGGACCAGGAGTTGAAGCCCGTCTACGCAAAGTATGGACGCTACATGAACGTGAGGTGAAAGCACGTGAACATGAGGGGTCTTGGTTTCTCATGTAATGACCTAAGTGTAATTACCTAAGTGTAGTTACAGGATGAGAGCTACGCTCGTGATGTCCCGTCTCCCCAGCACTCTTTGTCATATAATGCTTTGAAATTACTGACGGTTTTGGCCTCCACCACCTTTTCACTTAACTTGTTCCAACTGTCTACCACTCTATTTACAAAAGTGAATTTTCGTATATTTCTCCGGCAGCTTTGTTTCATTAGTTTAAATCTATGACCTCTTGTTCTTGAAGTTCCGGGTCTCGGGAATTCTTCCCTATCAATTTTATCGATTCCTGTTACCATTTTGAACGTAGTGATCATATCGCCTCTTTTTCTTCTATCTTCTAGTTTTTGCATATTTAATGCCTCTAACCTCTCCTCGTAGTTCTTGTCCTTCAGTTCTGGGAGCTACTTAGTGGCATGTCTTTGCACCTTTTCCAGTTTGTTGATGTGCTTCTTAAGATATGGGCACCATACAACCGCTGCATATTCCAGCTTTGGTCTAATAAAAGTCGTGAACAATTTCTTTACAGTAGTATTTCTCCATCTATGTATTTAAAAGCATTTCTGAGGTTAGAAAGTGTAGCATAGGCTCCTCACACAATGTTCTTAATGTGGTCTTCAGGTGACAGTTTTCTACAGTATCTAGAACCACCTCTAGATCCCTTTCTTTATCAGAATTCTTTAAAGATTTCTCACATAATTTATAGGTTGTGGGGTCTATGTTCTCTAATTCCACATTCCATAACATGGCATTTATTCACATTAATTTCCATTTGCCAAGTGTTGCTCCATATACTTATTTTGTCCAGGTCTTCTTGAAGGGCATAACAATCATCTAGGTTTCTTATCTTCCCTATTATCTTAGCATCATCAGCAAACATGTTCATGTAATTCTGTATTCCCACTGGTAGATCATTTATGTACACAATGAACATTACCGGTGCAAGAACTGAACCCTGTGGTACTCCACTCGTAACATTCCTCCAATCCGATATCTTGCCTCTGATTACGGCCCTCATTTTTCTGTCTGTTAGGAAATTTTTCATCCATGTTAGTAGCTTACCTGTCACTCCTCCAATATGTCCCAGTTTCCAGAACAACCTCTTATGGGGAACTCTGTCGAAAGCCCTTTTTAGGTCCAGATAGATGCAGTCAATCCAACCATCTCTTTCCTGTAAAATCTCTGTGGCTTGTTCATAAAAACTGAGCAAGTTCATTACATAGGATCTTCCAGATCGAAAACCATACTGTCTGTCTGATATTATATCGTTTTCCTCCAGGTGTTCAATCCCATTTAGTTTTAATTATTTTTTCCAATATTTTGACTATTACACTTGTCAATGATACAGGTCTATAATTAAGGGGGATCTTCCCTGTTTCCACTTTTGTAGATTGGAACTATGTTAGCCTTTTTCCACACATCAGCTACAACTCCTGTACACAGGGATGCCTGAAAAATCAGTTGAAGTGGAATGCTGAGCTCAGATGCACATTCTCTCAGAACCCATGGTGAAACTCCATCTGGACCAACTTCTTTGTTCTTACTTAGCTCCTTGAGCATTTTTTCCACTTCATCTCTAGACACCTCTATGTGCTCTATGTTGTTCGCTGGAATTCTGTGGTGCCATGCAGTGGCGCTTGGCTGGGTGAGAGACTGCTGACGCGACAAATTCTCGCCCGGTAACACCACTGGTACTAGCAACAGGCTCGGTAACACTATGCTTTGAATCCACTTCACTAAAAACCAGAAAATGAGTCACCTTCCTCTGACTCGTTGCCCAAAATATCCTCATACTCTAAAATAAGCACAAGAACTGTGTGGTCGTGGGTGAATTGGAGTAGACACTGGGTAATTACCTAAGTGTAATTTCCTAAGTGTAGTTACAGGATGAGAGCTACGCTCGTGGTGTCCCGTCTTCCCAGCACTCTTTGTCATATAACGCTTTAAAACTACTGACGGTCTTGGCCTCCACCACCTTCTCACTTAACTTGTTCCAACCGTCTACCACTCTATTTGCGAAGGTGAACTTTCTTATATTTCTTCCGCATCTGTGTTAGCTAGTTTAAATCTATGACCTCTTGTTCTTGAAGTGCCAGGTCTCAGGAAATCTTCCCTGTCGATTTTATCAATTCCTGTTACTATTTTGTATGTAGTGATCATATCGCCTCTTTTTCTTCTGTCTTCTAGTTTTGGCATGTTTAATGCTTCTAACCTCTCCTCGTACCTCTTACGCTTCAGTTCTGGGAGCCACTTAGTAGCATGTCTTTGCACCTTTTCCAGTTTGTTGATGTGCTTCTTAAGATATGGGCACCACACAACAGCTGCATATTCTAGCTTTGGCCTAACAAAAGTCATGAACAATTTCTTTAGTATATCGCCATCCATGTATTTAAATGCAATTCTGAAGTTAGAAAGCATAGCATAGGCTCCTTGCACAATATTCTTTATGTGGTCCTCAGGTGATAGTTTTCTATCTAGAACCACCCCTAGATCTCTTTCTTTATCAGAATTCTTTAAAGATTTCTCACATAATATATATAGGTTGTGTGGGGTCTACGTTATCCTATTCCACATTCCATAACATGACATTTATTAACATTAAATTCCATTTGCCAAGTGGTGCTCCATATACTTATTTTGTCCAGGTTTTCTTGAAGGGCATGACAATCATCTAAATTTCTTATCCTTCCTATTATCTTAGCATCATCAGCAAACATGTTCATATAATTCTGTATACCAACTGGTAGATCATTTATGTACACAATAAACATCACTGGTGCAAGAACTGAACCCTGTGGTACTCCACTTGTGACATTTCTCCATTCAGATACATTGCCTCTGATTACTGCCCTCATTTTTCTATCAGTCAGAAAATTTTTCATCCATGATAGAAGCTTACCTGTCACCCCTCCAATATTTTCCAGTTTCCAGAACAACCTCTTATGTTATGTGGAACTCTGTCGAAAGCCTTTTTTAGGTCCAGATAGATGCAGTCAACCCAACCATCTCTTTCCTGTAATATCTCTGTGGCTCGATCATAGAAACTGAGTAAATTCGATACACAGGATCTTCCAGATCGAAAACCATACTGTCTGTCTGATATTATATCATTTCTCTCTAGGTGTTCTACCCATTTAGTTTTGATTAGTTTTTCCAATACTTTCACTATTACACTTGTCAATGATACAGGTCTATAATTGAGGGGGTCTTCCCTGCTGCCACTTTTGTAGATTGGAACTATGTTAGCCTGTTTCCACCCGTTTGCTACGATTCCTGTACACAGGGATGCCTGAAAGATCAGGTGAAGTGGAATGCTGAGCTCAGATGCACATTCTCTCAGAACCCATGGTGAAACGCCATCTGGGCCAGCTGCTTTGTTCTTACCGAGCTCCTTGAGCATTTTTTCCACTTCGTCTCTAGACACCTCTATGTGCTCTATGTTGTTCTCTGGAATTCTTATTGTATCTGGTTCCCTAAAGATTTCATTTTGTACAAACACACTTTGGAACTTTTCGTTTAGTGTTTCACACATTTCCTTTTCATCTTCCGTGAATCTATTTCCCATTT